TAATAAATAAGTAAAAATATATACAATTATAGTAATGAAATAGAGAAAAGCAAATTGGGGGAGGGGAAGAGGGAAGAGGGGGTTGTGATTTTAGATTGTGATTTTAGGGTGGCTGGGGAAGTCCAAGCCTGGGGGACGTGAAAGAGCCAGCCCAGAGGTTGTCTGGGGGAAGAGAATTCCAGAGGGAGGAAACTGCAGACCTAAAAGCCAAGAGATCTATGTGACTGGATGGGGACAATACCAGTCCATAATCCCTTCTTCAAAATTCCAGAGCCAAAAACCTCTGAGGATTCTAGTCATACTTAACTCCCTGCTCTCTTTCATCTCCAGGTCTACGAACACGATCATCCCTCTCCTTGGGACAGCATCCCATCTCCTTTCCTCTGCCAAGAGCCTCTGGAGGGTTCTGCCATGACTTCCTGTGCCTGCACCGTATAGCAGCCTCCCCCGGTCACCTCTATCACATCCCAGTGTTACTCAGGGCTTAACTCCTAGAGGGAATTATATATATATATATTTTTTTTAGGTAGGCTCCATGTGGGTCTTGAACTCACGATCCTGAGATCAAGACCTGATCTGAGATCAAGAGTGGGTCGCTTAACCAACTGAGCCACCCAGGCGTTCCAGAGCGCTTATCCTGGTTCGAAAAGGGTAGAAAAAAAAAAAAAAAAAAAGCTAAACTAAAGAACTGTCCTTGGAGGGATGACAGTAGTGTATTGGGACTCCAGCAACATCTTCCTCAAACCTAGAATTTCCACCTGAAAACTGAACATTTCTATATATTTAAAGAAAATCTTGGCCCTAATTGTGACATCTAAAGAACTGAGACTAGGGGCGCCTGGGTGGCTCAGATGGTTGAGCGTCTGCCTTCGGCTCAGGTCATGATCCCAGCGTCCTGGGATCGAGTCCTGCATCGGGCTTGGGAGCCTGCTTCTCCCTCTGCCTCTCTCTCTCTCTCATGAATAAATAAAATATTTAAAAAAAAAAAAAAAAGAACTGAGACTAGTCATTTTTTATTTTTAATGGGGAAATAAAATGAATGAGGAAGAGAAATCCTGAAAGGGGGCGGAGAGGGGGGGCGGTGCGAGTAGGTGGAGTGGAGAAAAGAAATGATAAAAAAGTAGAGAGGCGAGAAAGGATGAAAGGCAGAATTAAACTACAAAAGAAAAATATAAACAAGTTTCATGGAGACAAACTCAATAGGCATTTCTCTTCCTGCAAATATCTTGGGGGGGGGCGGGTACCGTTAACTTTTTCCTGCAGTTGTCTTTGGAGAGTGATGAGATTTTTGAATAAGATTTTGAATGATACCAAACTTCCCTTTCAAATTAGGAAAAAATTCTAATGGTTAGAAAATATGCTTAAAAAAAATTTTTTTTCATGAGAAGCTGTCTCGTTGGCTTTCATCTGTAAAATCGCTTGAAATTGGCAGTGCCCCCCCCCCCCCGTTCTTTTCTTTTTTCTAAGTAGCTATACGGAAAAGCGTTCAGCCGCCTCGAAAACCTCGCGGCAACCGCCGGATGCTCCAAAGTCAAGATCCTCCGCAGACAGGAAATGCCTTTGCCAGCTCCAAGGTCTCCTCCCCGCAGCCCTCTCCATTGTCTGCAGAGATTTGTGTACATCCGACTGAAGAGGTTTACCGCCTGCTACAGCGAATCAAAGAGCTCCCTTACAAGAAGGGAGTCACTGAGGGCTTTCTAGTTTTTCTATCTAACACTTGGCGCCCACTGTGTGCCAGGTATGATGTTTGCTCTCAGGTGAGCAGCCCACCTCTCTAGGAACTGGGCTGAGAATTCACATTTTCCAAGACCCCCAACCAGCAAGACAGCCATTCTTCCAGCCCTGCTCTTACCCACGGTGGTATAATTCCTGACATTGGGGCCCCCTCAGCCAGATCTGAAGGGGTAGTTGCAGTTCTGAAGACCCTGGATCTCAGATATTTTGGTGGGTGGTAGGAATCTCCAAAGTGCTTGTCATTTGGATTTAACAACAATACCAAAAAATGTTATCAAGGGGACAGAATTCGATTAGACAAATTACAGAATCCAGCTGGAATTTCATGAAACCCAAAGTGAAGGAAGGGAAATGTTGGGATATCTGATTATTTTTACCAAACTCCTAACCATTTAGAAGCATTCTGGGTGACTGTTTGGTTCTCCACATTCTGTCCCATGTTGTCAGGAGTCACAAAAGTCTCACCTCCACTCACAGATTTAAAGGATCATTGATTATTAGATTTTAAAGAAAAATCAAAAGGGTGAGCTTTTGAGCTTGAGTTCCACAAGGCAGTATAACTGGAATGGGAATTTTGGTAAGGGCAGTCTGTCCCCCTCCAAGTGCACTTCCCCAAGTCCAAATACATTTTCTTGAATCTCTGCCCTGCCTCCATTAAGTAAAATGAATATTCACAGCAATGAAACCACCAAAGAAAAAAAAGTTGTCAGAAATGTTGAAAGAGAATAGGTACTTTCACTATCAGAGATGGTTTCCTCTTTTCCCACAAGATGTTTTATCAGCTTTCACCCTGAGAAAACCATAAAAAGTAAGAAAAAGAAACCTTATGCAATAGTTCTCTAAATAAAATACTACACAGCGGGCTAGTCATCCCTAAAAGTGATGTTGTTTAAAGAGTCAAAGTACATCATCCAACAAAATCAATATCCTATTAAGTTAGAAAGGGTTCTGAATATCAAAGACCAATGAACTGAATAACTTAAAGTATAAGTACATGACCCAGGGGATTAATCACACACTGTCATGGTGAAATTAGGGCAATTCTTCCAATCATTAACGTTTTGCTTACAAAAATGTGCTTTTCTGTTTGTCTTTCTGCTAAATGATAACCGTTTTCAAGTTGAATCTCCTGATAAAAAGAGTTAAAAACAAGACAGGAGTTGTGCTGTAAAGGTCATACATGCTGCTTCAACATGAAATGGCCAGAAGACAAACAAATGAAAAAATGCCTGGATTGTAGGAAGAATTTGTAAATATTCATTGGCAATCTGCAATGGGGCATTTTGAAAACAGTTAAAGCCAACCGGTACCCTGAAAATACTGTACTCTGGTGAACATGCTCTTGATTCTTAAGACTATGTTTAGATTCAGAATATGAGCAACTTGAAGAGGGTTAGGAGTAGCTTTAAACTAGAAAACATCCTGGATTCCAGAAACTGTCTACTTTAAAACAAGATTTCACCCTTCAACTTTTCTAGTGTCAATCAATACATAAGCCTGTATTTCTCTGCCTGATCATCATGATACAGTTATTCTCAAGAATAAACATTAACCAGAGGTTATCTCCAGGAGCGAAACACACACAAACTGATTTCAGGATTGCTTTAATTCAATATTAGGCCCACAAGCCTCCCATTCTCCAAAAGTCTGATACAGACAGTCCCATTTTCAAACGAGACTGATTATGACCCTTGAAACCTAGATGTAACCTGTCAGGCAGGGTCTGGGAGTTTGGAGCCTGCGGCTGATGGAAAGGAAGACCCTCCAACTGGAGGTCTACTTTGGACTCCAACACTGAGGAGACACCGAGAATAGGGGGAACCATAAAGATAAAGAGCTTGAACTGAGTTGGGAATTTGGGGGCCGGAAAGGATCAGGTAGATCAACTAGACCATCTCCATTCCACAGATGGGAGAACTGAGGTCAAGAACTAAAACTCCAACCAAATTATTAAACTTCCAGGCCTAGTCACACCTCTCTGCTTAAGGACCTGGTGCTAATTTTCTCAGAAATTTAGATTTGCAGGCAATTCCAGGGGCCTTCTTGGAATCTAAGGAGGCAGGCTGTAACAACTCCCTAAAAGCAATAACCTTTTCACTGTCTTCACTGGAGCGCCCATGTCCGGGGAACCATAGCCCTGGTCAGCCATGCAAGGGGCAGAGTCGTTCCTTCAGGTGCCCTCAGTCAGAAGGCACCCACCTTCACAAACAACTAGAGGCCTCCATGGAGGGAGGCCCAGGCTGGACCTCTTCCCCAACAGGCCCCTCCTCATTTTCCTGGAATGTCAGGGACCTGATGGCTCCGCTAGGCTGGGCCAGTCAGAAACCTCAGGCCATCCTTCCCCTCAGCCCCATACCCCCCTTATCTGGCACTGCCATTCTCCCCTCTCACAGTAGCCCTTCCTCGGCCCTGCCAGGGTCCCATAACCATCAGACTCTGGTTCCCACCGGCCTAGATGAGCCCCGCTGCCCTCTTTCTTCCTTTCATTCCTCCCCGCCTCCGGCTCCCGCACTGGGAGGAATTACTGGGAGAAGAGAGGCAGGTGAGAGAGGAGTGAGGGGGTATGCGGGCCCCACCTGCTTCTACTCGAGGAGCACCTTAGAACGGCGGTTCTCAAAGCGCGGTCTTCCTACCAGCCACTTTGACATCACCCGAGCACGTGTTGAAGTGCAAATTCCCGGTCCCACCCCAGACCTACCAAATCAGAAACTCTGGCGACACGGTTGGCCAAGAGTTTCAAGAAGCTCTGCGGGTGCTTCCGAAGCTCGCCGAAGCTTGAGACCCGCGGTCTCGGCACAAACTACTTCCCCGCTCTTCCCCGGCACGCTCCCCCCACCCTCTCCGCGGACCCCCCTACCCGGGCTCGGCCGCCAAGGGATGACGCAGTGTTGACTCACTCCGGTCAAGGACAGCGGCCCGGGCCAGCCTGGGAGCCGAGGCGAATCGATGGGGTTCGGCGGCCCTGCGCTCCCCGACGCAGCGGGCCTCGGCCCCGGCTCTTCCAGCCACCTGGCGCGCCGGGGTCTCAGACCCGCCGCGCTCGGAGTCCGGGGGCGGGAGCCTCTCCCCTGCCGCGACGCACACACGTCGAGCCCCTCCTCCACCCCAGCTCCCTCCCCCTCCAGGGAAAGTCCCAAATCTACTTCCCGGGGCCCACCCGCCCGCCGTCCGGCGTCCCGCCCCCGCGCCCCCGCGCCGGGACCCGGGAGACGCTGGGAGGAAAGGTGAGAGGTGTGCGTTTGTTTCACCGGAAGAATGCTTGGTCCCTCGAGGTCAGTCGTCCCACCGACGGGTTTATTTTATACACAAGTTACTCATTAAAAAAAAACACCATTTTGGTCTTTTGTTTGTTTACAGTGAACAATTATATATACAACACATTATAAACACTGTTTGATATAAAACATAATTATCTACAGTCTACTTACATTTAATTAACCTGCTACTTCTAGTTCATCTGTGATTAATTTTAGTCTCCGACGAGTCAGTTTCTCTGCTTGAATTGGACTGTACTATTCCCTTAACACCTTGGTCATATAAGGTACTAAGTGATAGTGCAAAACAAGCATTTAAGATTCTCATCAACTAGATCTCTCTGACAAAAAGAACACACATCCCCGAGGCAGGAGCTCTGAGATCATATTGGATTTAAGGCAGCAGTATTAAGAATGTAATACAGTGCTTCGGCAGCACATATACTAAAATAAGAATGTAATATAAAAGTAAAGGAAGTTTCCTTTTAAAATATTCCAAGGCTGCCTGAAATGTGGGCCCCCTGAGCAAGGCATACCTCTGGATCTGAGGTGCCCTTTTGCTTTTCCATTAAGTGGGATGCAGATACAGATTAAAAAGTCATTCAAGAAGATCCTATTAAAATCTTTAGTTATAACTTAAAAATTTAACAAAAAAGTTCAAAATTACTTTTTATAAATAGAAAAAACAATTTACTTTTTTTTTTAAAAGGGGGTGAATTTAACCAGTGAAGAGTCCCTTCATCATATAACCTACAATCAGTACATAAACCATTTAAGTCAAAATTAAGGTTTCAGTGTAAGTTTGCTGCTTAGCCAGTGCACCAAATATTTTAGGTTTCCAGAATACCAGAAAATTGATTCCCTTTCTCATAGTTTTCCAGTATGTCTATGGAGATTTTCTGTAGCAACTGTTATTCCTAAGTCCAGTTTTCTGTACATGCCAATGTCAGTGGTCATCATCCAGCATTAAAATAGCCTTTATCGCCCTCAATGTCCACTTCCTGATCAGAATCCTCTGAAATCTCTGATTCAAGGTCTTCCTGGGAGGCAGGGGAGGGTGAACATTGAGAGCTATCCAAAGCACCTTTATTCTGCTCACTGGGCAAGTCTTGCCTCTGGTCACAGGGATTGTCCAAACTTTCCAGTTCTTCTTTTTTATTGCTTTGAGGGTTCTCCTGAATGAAAGGAGTGAAAATGGAAATTGGTAGGCTTGTGAAATATGGAGACATAAGATACATGAATCAAAATGTGTTTTCATTCTCTTTCATCTGTAGAATTTTTAGTTTATCTATTGCTTTCATCAGCTATAATCTTTATTCAGAAAATACATACTTGTGCTTCTTTCTCATTTTGGAAGAAAAGAGCCGGTCATATCAAAGAAAGATTATTCTCTTGCCAGGTAAGAACAACCAGTCACAAATATAACAGTGTATTGTGTCAAATGAACACTTAGCTCCAGCCCATACTCATGGCCTCAAGATTCTTTTTTTTTTTTTTTAAAGATTT